GTAGCCTAATTATCTGTTATGTCTATAGAAACGATTCCTCTTGTCCAAGTAATGTGAATATTGATGTTTTTGGTTTCATCAAATCTTGTGCAGTTACGAGTTAGGTTCTGTATATTTGCAACTCTGTGATACGTTGTACCTTGCGGACGGCCAGAATTATGAGAAGCTTGTTGATCCTTCCATTTTCATTCCTCGGTTCTCAAACAGTAAGTATGTCGTCTTTTGGCTCTCATTTCTTTTCTGTATTTGGTTGATGCAGAAATATACTATATTCTGTTTTGTTTAGTTGCTTTGAACATGAAACATGCAGATATATTGAATACTTGACCCAACCTACACAATTTGCAGGCTTGTTGAAAGGGACATATGATAAAGCTGTCGTGAGAACAGCTAGAGACATTATAGCTAGTATGAAGAGAGATTGGATACAGGTTTTGACTTATTTTTTGTTAGTTGATCGTTTCCTACGTACTTTTTGTCTTAGTGTTGGTTATTCATTGTGCCTTGTGTTAATATCGACATGTTGCAGACCGGCCGGAAACCTAGTGGGATATGTGGAGCAGCACTTTACACAGCAGCGCATGCCCATGGTATCAAGTGCTCCAAGACAGACATCGTAAGATATGATTGATTTGCTTAAGAAATGTTGTTAAATATGAGAAAGACGTTTTAGCCTTTTATTTCACTAATTTAGTGCTGATTTGATGTGTTTTCTAAATATTTCAGGTAAATATTGTGCATATATGTGAAGCAACCCTAACCAAACGATTGATTGAGTTTGGAAATACCGACGCTGGAGAATTAAATGTGAGTTAAGGCTATGAGTTTCTAGTTGTAGAATTATTTGTTAACTGGTCATATCATCCCTGATATTACATGAAGAATTATGTTTATTTTTTCTTAACGGCTGTACATGTCTGGCTAGGTTGATCAGCTCACAGAGGAAAACCATAAGAGATCGCTTACTAGGAAACCAAAGTCTAACGGAGACAATGTTTTCTGTATGCATCAGAACTGCAAACCTTTTGGTTATGGACTGTGTGAGAGCTGTTATAATGAGGTAAGTCTCCTGTATTATGCATGCTTTGTCTTTTTTCGTCTTTTCTGTTTACGCAATTATGAGTTCTTGACAAATGGCTCTGACCAGTTGACAATCTGAAGCTTTTTTCCCGATTTTTTTCTGCAGTTCATGACTGTGTCTGGTGGAATTGATGATGGGGCGAATCCTCCTGCTTTCCAGCGTGCAGAGAAAGAGAGAATGGAAAAAGCAGCTAAAGAAAAAAACGAGGGAGGAGTTGGTAGCGAGAAACAATGTTCGGGTGAGTGCAATTACTATCTAATCAGATTAAAGTTTTTCGCTATCGTTTGAGCATTGCGAATCTTTTTTGTGCTGTGTCCAGAGAGAGGTGAAGGAAAAAAAGATGGGGATGATGGATATGATGAAGCTTCAGATGAATCAGGCAACTTTTCTGACATCAATGATGATGAGGTTAGCAACTGTTTTGTTTCCTTGTGTTGTATTAGATGCAAGTGTTATGTTCAACCTCAAATATGGAAACTGAAAAATTCTCAACAGTCTGTCTGAGTTTTTTTTTTCCCTTACAACAGTTTCACTTGTTATATCTGATCGTTGGTCATAATATCTTTTCTGTTTCCCAGGTTGATGGCTATATTCACAACGAGGAGGAAAAGATCTATAAGAAGATCTTATGGGAAGAAATGAACAGAGAATATCTTGAGGTGGTTTCAGATCCCGTGTCATTTATCTTCTCCTGGGTTAAAGATCAATCAGTCATGAGAATCTTAACAGAATTATATTGTTTTATAGGAGCAAGCAGCCAAAGAAGCAGCACTGAAGAAGGCTAATGACGCCTTGAAGGCGAGCAACTCTAATTGCCCAGAATATGCAAGAAAGCTTGTCGAAGCTTCCAAAGCTGCTGTGACAAAATCTAGAAAGGTGACTCAATTTGGACTTTGCAAATTATGTTCTTTAGCTTTCATATCAAGAATATGACTTATGGAGAATAATGGTATGTCTGCTAATAACATATGGTCTCTCAATCAAATTCTGGTTCTCTTTTCTCTCTTCATATAGGAAAAGCAACAAAAACGAGCTGAAGAAGCAAAGAACGCACCTCCCCCAACCACGGCCATGGAAGCTGTTCGCAGAATGCTTGATAAAAAGGTAAAAGATCTCTCTTCTTATATGCCTTAATACTCTGACCCGGAAGTACATATTTCAGATCATGTCTATAGTACATTGCTCTTTGTCAAAATCAACTTTGCTTCTTCTCTCTTTCCTGACTTGAGTTTCCTCCACTCTTATACAGAGACTTGGTGGGTTAATCAACTACGACGTTTTGGAAGAGCTCTTTGATACATCCGTAAGTTTCATTCTATCTTCTTGTTTCCTTAGTTCTCATAGCTTTCAGGTCTTGTGAGTGTAGCTTTATAAGCTTTTCTTCTCCTTACTTCTTTCAGCCAGCGGAGAAATCACCCAAAAGATCAAAAACCGAGACAGACATGGAGAAGAAAAAGGAAGAGAAGAAGGAAGTGAGGAGCAATGAACATGAGAATGGTGAAAATGAAGACGCCAAAGAAGCTGAAGAGGATGAAGAATCATACGCCATGAACACAGTGTTTCCAAACGGTGAGAAACTCTAT